CGATCCCGGCTTCCGAGCGAGCGAAGACAGTACATGCCTTAGACCGCTCGGCTACCGTAACCGGCAATAAACACAATACGAAAATGATTTTGGTGAATTTAGGTCGATGCATACCAGCTTCTTGTAGGGGTAATTTAGCTAGCATACCGAACGGCTAAGGAATAGACAACTGTAACCCTATATCTTTAGTGTTTCTCTTCTCCGCTATGGTTCTGAAATCTAACCCGGTGGCACAGGTAGCTCTTCCCCACGACTTATTCGCGGTCGTAGTTCGAAGCCAAGCACAGGAACTCTGTGTATTCTCGAATAAGGCAATTGACGAGTCCTTCACCTCGTCTCTAGACCTACTCCTTCGTGATGAGTTGGTTATAAGCTGCGGTAATATTTTATGCGTAATATCCTTCCTGCCAAAGTGCAAATATGTATGAATCAACAATGATCCTATTACTGAAACCCTTTCCGAGGACCATGGGTTAATTTGGTGAATTAAGATTGATGTAAATGATAGGCCCATAGAGAGACAAGATCTGACGGATATACGTCACTATTGTAACATAAGTTAAAGGAGTCACCGACCTTGACATATTAATGTATTCATGTTTTGTATGACAGTCCAGATATTATACGGAACCCGCTGAATTTTGTTTGCGCAGGGGACTTAGTCGAGCCTGCTCTCGCAAACTTATGATTTTGTTGATCAGTTCCTTTACAATTTCTTTTACCTGTAGGGGACATGTGAAAGGTTCTTGGCTGTGATACTATGGAAAATAAAATGGTCGATTATTGACACGCCATCAGTGTTAGTAACCTACAGCGTTGAATTATGAATAGGCAAGCAATAACTTTAGTGTCCAAAAGTTCAGAAGATCTGCAGAGTCAGTAGCGTAAGTCAATAAACATCGTGATAACCATGGCCCGGATTTTGATGATATGTCATCTTTTTTTCCTTGTATCCTATGCAGTGCTCTTAAATATATAAATCTCGGATATGAGCTACTGGTTACAGAAATGTAAATTTTATAGGTAATTTTTTGTCATTTTTTTGACATTTTTAGGTTTAAGGTCATTTTTTCAATTTGTGGGTAATTTTTTGGTAAATTTTTTGGAATTTAAAGGTATTTCTCGTCATTTTTGGCCATTTTAGGGAATTTTTCTTCATATGTTTTCTGAAATATGAATAACATGGAAGCGAAGTGTTCTTTCTTTTCTCCTTTAGGTCATTTTTCTGGATTTTTTCGGTCATTTTATAGGTCATTTTTAGAATATTTTCAGGTCATCAAAATACGGTTAATATTTTCCCGGCATATTGTAATTACGTCATTAAGCCTATTTATTATCAGTACCAACCACACTGACT